TTTTTTTTACATTTTTTGTATCCAAATAATGAACTTTATAAACTAAATATATTTTCCTGCTTCCAGAGTAAAATAAATTATCACGATAGCACGTTCATGGTTTGGAAGAACGCACGTATTATGGCGATTCTAATGTCCGCATGCGCAGAGCAGACTTCACCGCATCTTTAAGAATGTTTATTGGGATTTAGAAGAACAGTTATATGAATGTCAGCACTATATGAGAATTTTTTCTTAACTTTATCACGTACCAGAGCGATATGGTCAAACATTGAATGCCCAACTCTTTGAAAAAATTTTGAATGAGGTAATGAACTTTATTATAATGTCTTGTTTTGTTTTTTATTATTTTAAATAGCATCCAAGCACAGTTCCAATTTGTTATAATGAGAGGACTTTTCTTTCACGGTTACAGTGTTTTGTGGAGTCTTTTCTCACATCTTGCTATATGGGTTGTCTTAATCCGATATGTATCTTGCTCTGTGTTTTAGATCTCTGATTACAAACATCCAGGTTGTGACAGCAGTGGTATGCAACAAGGAATGTACACATTGAAACCACAATTCTGGGAAACACATTTTGATCCTGTCCATGCTTTATTGAGAGCATTCAATAGACGAGAATTTCAGTCTGCAATGGATCGATATACTACTCAGTAAGTGTCAACGATATTCCATTTTGTTGATGTGAAAATGACTGGTGCATATTGTGAATGCGTGTGCACGCGAGTTTCATGCATGTTTCAATAATATGCTTGCATATAGGTTGGCTGGTTTAAACGAATTGGCAATTAACAAAGATTGTGAAATAATTAGGTTCAGTGAATGTACCGGTACTATAAATCCAGCATTGGTCACACAAAATATTGGGACTGGGAATTTACATGTATAGGTTCTCAACGTATCCCCGTTCATTTAATTTGTTGCTTTAAATTGGGGTACTCAGACCTTGTTTTGCTTCAATTAAATGCTTTTTTGTCTTATAATTAATAACATACTAGGTTTTCATGGTTGAAAAGACCTTGTTACAACTTAATTACTTAGTAAATCAGCGATCTTTTAGATATCGTAACCCCTGTTTTAATCTTTTGCCACGCCCTCCCGCCCTAATATCCGCTCGTGAGTATAAATTTTAATCCATTCTGCATCGCATCTCGTTTCTTCAGCTTACGGCAACATAACTCATCGTATGTGACATCAGCATGGCCACCATTTCGACCTCTTACGCCAGTGCCAAAATCATTTAACGGTGTGTTTAGGTATGTAATGTTCAACATGGTTGTGTTTATTTTGTGTGTTGGTGTTATGTACTCAGGTGAATATGATGTTACTCTGAGTGTGCATCCACACCGGGCAAGCTGAAAAGTTAGCTTGGCCACGGTGGGAATCGAACCCGCGACCTTTGGGATACTAGTCCCATGCTCTGCCAACTGAGCTACGTGGTCAAGTCGGTTCGAGTTGATGATATTTCGGAACTGAGTCTAGTTCCTTCGATATCAGTGTGTTCTATGATATATGAGATAGAATGATTGGAGATAGACCTTAAGAACCTCTTTAACCTTTCATTATAGTCTAACTCTTACTACCCCTGAATACAGGTAACTTACTTAGGCTTGGTTTCTATTTGGATCAGAGTGAAAAAATCTTCTTCTACATGTTTCTGTTTACTATTGCTGCTTTAGTTCGTCAGGGTTTCTTGTCTCCCACATGTAGTCTCTGCTTACTTTCCTTTTGTAAGACCAAGTGAACTGCAAGAGTCAGTATGCCATTTACATGTATCACACGTTTCATATTACTAACTATCAGTAACAAGTTTTCAAACAATCTGTTTCGATCTAATCGAGGGTAGAGTGAAATACACACAAGTTTTATACGTATGTACCGCAAAGTTTTGTAAAATGTAATGAATATTATGCTGTTTTGGATTACTTAGATTACTTCACTGCAAGAAATTACATCAGATGTTATACTTAATATTGTATAAGGTATTGTAAAAGAAACATTTTGAAGTTATTGTCACGCATAGAAACTCAGTTTGTGTAATTTACAGTAATTTTATTTCATGTAATACTGTTCAACTATATTGATGTTTTTCTATCATAGGCCACGTCAAATGTGACCCCATTATCAGAAACCGTTATATATTTAGCAGTCCATCTAATAACCTTAGCAGTTCAGTCATCTGCTACATGTTTTCAAATGGTAAGCTAATATTATATCTTCTGTACAGTAGTAAAAAACGCATATTACAGGTATATGTTTCGTTATTACTTATTTGTCAGGTGTGTTGGTTACTATTTACCTGTTTACCTCCACAAGAAGGCTATATTTCCAGTTTTATATTTTTCTCGGTTTGTTTGTTTGTCCTCGTTTGGGCAAGGCACGTAATTTAGGAAAACGCTCGTGCAAACTCTCATGAACTCTCACTCTCGTTTGACAAGGGCTTAATATAATTACTTGGCAGCAAATGCATGTGTTCAACATCAAAAGTATTGGCCCTTATTCAATATTGGCTTCATCATCCACACTATTGGCTTCATCATCCCCTATTCAATATTGGCTTCATCATCCACACTATAGACCCATTAAATCTCTATATTATATAGTTCTATCAAACGCAAATCCACTACAAAGGATAGAAATAGTCAATTTATTTTCTTAGTTTTAGAACTGCAGGTTGGCCCCCGTTCTGTTACACAATGCGCTTAGTGCAACCCAGCTACCTATTCATTAATTCAAAGTACTGGCATGGTTCATATCGGTGTACTGCATAACATTTTTGTCAATTAATAAATACTTTAAATTTTGTTGCATTATCTTTATTTTAGTTACCATGTCCCTATCGACCTTCACTAAGTGATGTCGGCGACACAGGTTGTGTTATCGTAACAAAGTGTTTACATTTCCTGGATCAACACGGTAAGTAAGATTTGAAACTCCTAGTGGTTGCGATGTTGATCTAATTGACGTTCGGATCATCACCGTCAATGGTAATGATGATGATCATGATCACGGTCAAGACACAATCGCACGTTACACGGGACGTCTTCGCTGCAGCATTCTGACTCAGCCAACTCAGGCAATGTTTTGTAAAAGAGAGCAACATACACGGCAAAAAACGCCGAGCCCGCTGCTCAACAGGATTGAACAATGTTTTGCTGCCCACGTTGTTCACACTTGTCAACAATATTGAACAATATTGTTGAGCCTGAATCGGGTGTAACAATATTGTTCAATATTGTTGACAGCTATGAACAATGTGGGCAGCAAAACATTGTTCAATCCTGTTTTCATCAATATTGCAACAACCTGAGCGTTTTTACGCGTGTAGCAATTCTACTCCACCTATGTTTACTGTATTAAATGTACCAAGAGACATGCTGCAAAAATTAAGTGATAAAAAATGAAGTCATCAGTGTAAATGAAAAGTTATACTGTATTTTTTGGTGAATATACTGTAATTGCGTACTGACATCGATCTGAACTCTGAAGTTACAGCATAAATTGCCTCATTAATAACATATGCTTCAAAAGCTTTACCAATTAAAACAGTAATATCATGCTATTTTCCCCAAATAACGTAAAATAGGTATATACAGTATTTTTGCTCAGGGCGGACACTTCGCGAAATATTAGGAGGAGGGGTCGAATTTAGGTTGGCACCATATGACCTCCTTTTGTTGCGGTTGTCCCCCGCCCTCCCTTAGTGTCTGCCGAAAACGGGGTAGTTATGTTAGCTATTGTACATATTAGTATTGTACATATTCTTAAAGCATGCTGTTTTGCTATGTAGGCAGCAGTGTGAAAGATCTTCATGCAAACGAAGACTTCAGTGAAATTAATGAGACGTTATTGACAGACCTAATGTATGGTGAGTATAATTTAATATGCAGGGACAAGAGCCTCTTCAGAACTGTTTACTTTCCGTTAGCAATCTACAATCGTGGACAAACCTGTTAATAAACCTGTTCAACATTCCTGATTTACGGTGTTTCATATTCAGTGGTTGCCGAGGTTAAAATGAAATTATTTGTTTGTTTTAGATCCTGAAATGAGTCTAGATGTGAAGACGATATCTGTACAAGACATATCTTTGATACTTGGTCATACCTTGCATTACAGAATGGAACCTTCGTTATTTGCTACACTATTGCCATACATGAACAGTGTACTAAGCAGCGCTTTGAGTAAGATTTCTATTTTTACATGCAGTACTTTTTCTATGAAGAAGATCACTGAAAGGTTAGATCAGGGCTAGGGCAATTTTTTGGTGGGATCGTTTTGAAGTCAGAAATATGCCCCGCTTGATCTGAGGGGAGGACCTAGTGCTGAATGACCGCTCCATGGTGATGGAGTGGTGTAGCGAGACAATATGCATCAACACTTGGGAGGTCCCAAAGATTCGAGAATCGATATTGATTTGATAAGACCCAAAAAGATTTGGGTAGGACATTGGCTTCCTCCTCGCACCCCCAGTAAATAAGTCCCTGAAAAAAGCGGGTGACAAGTATAATTTACCTCAAAATAAATGACTTTGCACAACTCTATTTTGAAACACATTTTTATTTTTTATGTCACTATTATATTTAGATAATTCCTGCAGTCAATCTGAGAAAGAGGGACAATTACAACACATTCAACACTTGCTGGAAACTCTTCCTGCTTACAGATACAATTTGGCCAGGCGTCTGATTGCTTACTTAATACGATATATTGAGAGGGAACAAATTTCCATGAAAAATATCTCCCTTATATGTGACGACTCACAGGTATGTTAATTAATTTCTTGGCTATTTCAGGTTTTCCCATGTTGTGTACAACTGATTTCAGGTTTTCTTTGAAGCTGAAAACCTCAGCCTCTATGCGAAAAAGCATTTTACATTATTATATATAGCAAGTGTCAATTGTCAAAGTTCAATTTTCCTGTTTGCCGATTGGTCAAAACCGCATCACGTGCCGGTCCACCAAACGTCATGTTCAGTGCATGCTTTGGCGAGGGGGCAACCGGTCAACAATGAAACAACTGGAAGTAAGTCGCGAGTTGTTCGCGTCCACCAGCGAAGCAAAGTTTTTTCAAGAGTTCCAGCATGTCTGCCGGTCGGTTTTATTGCAGTTTCGGAATACCAGGTGAATTATTGAGGCTTTGACACTTGGTACATATAATAAAACACTTATTTACTGAGCCCTCGGGAAAACAGCGTGTTTTGTGGTCCCTCGACCGCAGTTTTCGCCTCGGGCAACAACGTCGCCACAAAACACGCTGTTTCCCTCGGTGTCGGTAAATAAGTGATAACAGTACAATCTTTACATCCTCATTCAGTACATTATGCTTTTCACGCTTATATAAAGCTCAGGAACCGGTTGTATATAAAAAGGTACTAGTTAAAAGTTAACTACTGCATGGCTACTAGTGCGAAAGTTAACCAATCAAAATCGCGTATTTTAGAATTAATTACGATTTAACTATAAAATAGTAGTTAAGAGTTTTATTCAACTGATTCCAGGTTTTTGTGGTTTTGAGTTTCAGTGGACACGATTGGCTGAATAAGCTATGTCTCCTTCATTGTATTCAGTGGTGTACTGCATACTGTACAGTAAACTGACTAAACTATGTTCTTTGTGCGTGTTCAAATAAAACTGCATATTCTTTTCATGTTAAGCCACTGGAGTTAACCATGCTGTTCAAGTATTTAATCAAGTTCCACGAGAAGTTATTTCGGGTTTGTTTCTAATTTCTTTATTAATTTTTAAGCCACTATTAGTTTAGCACACAAATATGGATGTTGTATTAATGGCTTGCTCAAATACATTTTCAAGATGGATATTTTCAGAATATCTTTTATTCTTTAAACGGGCATTAACAAGCAATTGATTTATTTTAGGTGTATCCACGGACTAATGGTCTGCCGAGAGATATTTCCATGCTTGAGTTTCCCTCAAATAATCTTGTAGATAATATACGACACGAACCAAGAATATTGACTGAATCACGTAGCATGCTGAATTTTTATGGTCAAGGTATTTTCAGATGAAATTATAATTGCTCTTCAATTGTTATAGATTGGTTTCGCCCTGGGCCTGTATGGCCATCGTAGATTTAAAGCATCAGAAATGTGCAATATTTGAAAGGGTCTCTATACAGCATCCCGGAACCATCAGCCGGACTTCGCGAAATATTGGTGCAAATTTATTTCAGTTGACAACATACTGTACTCCTTCCCGGCTGTTCCTGCAAATTCCTCAAATCTTGTGTAGCACAACTGTCCCAGTATTTCATGAACTTTCCCTAATCAAAAGGATATCTGGCTTTCATGGCTAAAAATTACTTTATTAATTAGCTATTTTTCAGAGACACCTTATTTTCTCTTCTCCCACTGTCCTGATCTAGTGAAGGAGAGCGTTCAGAAGTCCCCAAGTGTCCAGTTATAAGCATTTTTCATACGTGCGTGTACGCAGGGAAAGTTTAAATCCATTTAAATGTTACTTGTGAAATAACTGAATGAATAAAAAGTCCGCATTTGTTTTTTTGTGTTATTTAATATGTATTTGTTGAGGTAATTAGTACTTACATTTATATGAAATTTGGACAGGTTCAAAGTCTTCCACTACAGTGAAACACGCAATTTGGTTGGTCAATAGCCGTGCAGGATCAAGCTCATATGACCAGGCTATCCTGCACGAGGAATTAAAATGCCTTCGCGGGATTTTCGCGGGATTCTCAAAATGTCATTGTTTCACTGTACTTATTTTATAAAACAATTACCAAATGGTTTTCCAAGCAGGATAGCGTGATCCATGCACTTGGGATGTTGCTCGACTTTCAGAAAGCGTAAAAATACACTCGCCTGCGGTTCGAGTATTTTTAAGCTTTCTGAAAGTCCCGCGACATCCCTCGTGCATGGATCACGCAATCCTGTACGGAAAACCATTCGGTATTCCTTTAGTAGAATCCAACGTTAGAGGACCGGCCAGCCTCAGAAGGGCCCACTTCTTACAGGAGATCAGTATGCTTACTAATGTTTGCTAACAATGTATTGTTTGATTATTAGTAAGTTTAGAAGATATCCAAGGATCTGTCACGTCGTCGAGTTCTCTAATCTCTTCTGGTTCGAGTACGAATTGTTTGGTGGAAGAATTCATGGAGGTCACACATGCTTCGAGAGGTGAAGAATTTTTCATATGTGACTGTTTTTCAGTCGTTCATCCGGAGCATTTTGTCGGGTGGAACAACTTAACATTGGTCTAAATTTCTCCCAGAGTGTTAGTTAGCCCTCAATTTTATGGGGGAGGGGCTGATTTGCAGCGGGCAGGCACGGGGTCAATTCCTCTCTCGTGTCTGCCAAAATCCTGCCCACTGCAAATCAGGCCCCCCATAGCTCCATCTTGGCTTCAATTTTTGGACTCGAGTTCTCGCTCCAGAAATAGCGAGCTCACTGTAAAATATTAGTATATAAACCAAATAAAAACGTATGTTATTAATAAGTCAGAGCGTTCTTTTCAAACTAAGCGGATACATGTGGGCAAGGCATTAAATATATTATCGGGTGAACATAGGCATTATTAAAGGAACGGTTAATATGCTCAATAATTTGGGTAGTATTTTCAAGTATCGATGTTTTTTCTGTTTTGTAGAAATAGCCGTATGCTTACTTCAAAAATACGAACAGAATCTGCAGATTGCAGTGAATATTTATCTTGAGAATTGTTCATCGTGTAGTGAGGTATCCAGTATTTCTTGCATGCCAATGGATGTTGATGACGCCCAGGGTATTGCTCAGGCTCCTGTGGTGAAGATGTCTTCCCATTGTTGTAATATGGAAAGTGAAACTAGTAACTGTGGTAAGTGATGCAAGTCATTCTTTAATAGACAGATAAACTATATAGTGCATATTATAGTGCTCGTTGCCACCCAATTCACGTTCTTGGCTGACTTGTTTGTCTATTTACCGTTTATTATATTATATTATAAGAATGTAAGCATGTAATGGACCAAAGGCAACCGAGCATTTATATTGTATTCCTAAGTAATTTGAATAACACTATCCGAGGGGTGTCACAGCATAGACTCTAATCTTCTGAAGCTGCGTTTACACGCTACGATTTGTCACAGAATAAGAAGGTATAGCAGAAGCGTACCTCTAGTCGTTTCCCTTATTGTTTTACGTCCACGAAAATTTTAACTCGCTCACGCCAATCCACGTCATCCTGGCTAGTACAACCGGAAGTTTTTATCAGGTTTTGGTAGGTACAAAGTGCCGGTTGTACTAGCCAGGATGGCGTGATTGATGACGAATCGCTTGTAAAAACGAGGACAAATACTTGCTTGAGTTACGCTTCTGCTATACCTTCCTATTCTGTAGATTTGTCGTGTACGATTCGTATTCTGGCGTATTAAAATGCGTGCTGGCGCCATAATTCATTGCCGTTTCGTTAAAAAGAAATTTCAAATGTAGCCAGCTTACGCGTGTTTACTCAATGACATATGCCATGCAGAAAACGAATCGTACACGATTAATTGCAGCGTGTAAACGTACCTTTAAAGTACCACTAGTGAAACTGTTAAAATTTCAATTTCTCATGCATGCATTGAACCAATTTTGGTTCTGCCAATAATGGGATGTTTCACCAGGGATGTTAGTAGTTTTTCAAAAACAAAACAATTGTCAAGAAAGCTTATAAATTTGTTGATATCGTCTGTGTATGGAGCTTTGATAAGAAACACTGTTGTTACTTAGCTTGCAGAGCCGGCGGTATTAAGGGGTGGGGGAGTTGAGGCACGGGCAGCAAATATTCAGGAACCTAACTTTTTACCAACATCTTGAGAGCACTAGCTACTCAGGGTACTTGTTACCATCGCTCTGTACCTCTTGTTAATATAGTGTACATTAAATTAATATAAAATCTTTGAGGAAATGTGATTGCCTTTGTTATAGATTTAACGAAGTGTTCAGGAGAACGACCGGCAACCCCTGAAGATTTGAACAACAGCATCCTGAGTTTACTGGTTAAATTGAAGACTGTTCTTCTTATGTCAGTTGCTTCACCAGTGTCACCCAGGTAACACTACCGCAAGTAGTTTAGTAAATTTATGACTGTTTTCATGAAGGTAATTATGGCGACCTCAAGTCTATTTCGCAAGATATAACAGGCATAAGCACACATGGAAGCATATATAATCACAAAAACCTGATTGAGCAGAACCGATGCGAAAGAAGAAAGCGCAAAAGCACAAAGAAAAAGTCATTTAACATAACTGCTGCAAAGTTGTTGTTCCAGAACCCAGCACATTTAATTAGACTTTTTGTTTGGTATACCGTTATGTCTCCGGCGTCTTAATTTTATTATTCCCAATATATGATTCTATATAGGTGCGCCGGTGTTGCAGTCGTGAATGATGGCGTGAAAAAAATCGAAAAACTGCTGGAACTAATTTGCCGTTTGAGTTCATCCAACGTGGAAGCAGTTGGGAGATTGGAAACTAGGAAATGTTCATTGAGTCCAACGGATGACATCGATGATCCACTGGCCAAACAAGAGGAAAAGTAGGTTCACACGAAACTAAACTGTGCAAAAACACATTTATTATACTAGTTGAAGTAGGCTGCACAAAAAACACTTAACGAATCTCTTGTACTTGAATTTTCTATACTCGATATGTCCACACTTGGATATGTAGTCGTACAATGTCGAACAATGACTTCTTTTTCTCATTTTCCACACCATTGAACAATTAGGTGCGCTATCCGGTTAGTTGAGATCAGTCGCTTTCTCGTGTTCAATTCGCTCTTTCCTTTGAAGATTATAACTTTTGTTGCTACTTTTTATTTAGGAAGAAAAGAGCTAAAGAATACCGACAAAAAGTTCTGAATCAACTTAAAAACCAGCAACAGAAGTTTTTTGATAGTTACTGTAACCAAGGTAAAGAAAATTTTCATTCTTTTCATAATTATTTTAATATGTCTAAGAAAACTTGAGTGCATGTGAAAAACCTGTAATGTTTGGTAGTATCAAACTAGAAGCACTGTTCGCAGATACTCCTGAGAAAAATTATCATTCCATCCCTCTCGCAGAAATGACTAACAATTTTGCGGGCTTCTGTGTATGATGCAACTACCTGAAAAATAATACAAACTTCGACGTTTCGAGCGAAGGCCCTTCGTCTACCACACTGACACCCAACATGCACTAATCCGTGTGCTACTGTACCAACTCTTGGCTGGAAATACTGTAAGCACCTCCGCTAGCATCTTGTAAGGGGTTACTTCTATACTGTTAAGGAATGAATACTAAGGTATCTTTTTTTATCCAGGTACAAGTTCAGATGTGGATGGTGAATTAAGGTGTTCACGGAGTTCTGTGGAGTTATTTGACTGTGCTATATGTAATCAAAATGTTCCGTCAACTGAACAACAACCTATTGGTTATGTCGCCTTCCTTCAGTCAGGAACTGGTAAGTAGTTAAGCCTTTGAAAATAAATGTGTGTGATTGAAATTCTATTGCTGAAAAGTGCATTTATACTTTATAATATTATTGAATTTTATTTTTTTTTATTTTTGTTTAGTATTAAAACATCGTAAAAGGTCGGACACGTCGAAGTCATCAAATGAAGGACCGTCATCGAGTGAACCAACCAATGAATCATTCTGCTGTGGTTCTGTTTATTCTGCAAGAAGAAAGTTTCTATTAACGTATTTTGAGAAGGTAGGTTTAACATCCTGGTCCCTGAATATCACTCTGCCTTTCGGGGATACGTATCCAGGGGGCTTGTGATATTAGTATAATGGCTTGAGCCCCAAAATATGTGGTCTAAAATAAAAAGTCATATCATTCATAATTAATAATCATCCCCCAGAATCTATCACCCCCTAGCTCTTCTAGAGTGTTCTCTTGGTTTTGCACTTGAATATTCTCACTGAAAGGCATGCAGGCCGTAATCTCTTGATACAGCCCTCTACAATGCATTTTATATCGTATTTGTTCAATAAATAAGAGAGGAAATTTTGCGGATTTTTCTCGACCATGTCATATCAAAAGTGTATTTCACCCCTTGCTTATTTTCCCTTCAGATCAAAGCTACTCAAGCATGTGAACTTGGTATTGATGGTGGTGTTCATATTCAATCTTGTGGTCATTGTCTGCATTTGAAATGCCATCAGACGTATCTACAGACACTCAAGGTAAATACTGTAAATCCTCGATGTAATCCTGGAATTATATTTGTAATTTGTAAGCATGGGAAGTCTACTGTAGGCAGTATTCTGCAATAAGTAACCGTGGTTGGAACTATTAAAAAAAGATTGAAACGCCGAGCTAATACCTTCGTCATTAGTAAATAGGGGTGCACCGGAACTCGCGATTTTTCAGAGTTCCGGTTCCGGCCGGAACTAATAAAACAAGCATGGCCGGAAGCGGAACTCTATTATTTTCAGAGAAATAGAATATCAAACGTTTTTGTGCCGTTTAACGTTTTATGACGTTTAACGTTTG